CTAGCCTACGTGCGGAGACGTGCACAGGATATTTCTGATAAGTGGCCCACACCATCCGGTCGGAGCCTTTGCTCGGTGCTCTGCGTGACCTCGGCGCTTTTGCTTACATGTGCGTCTGCCAATTAATACTTGCCCTTTTAAATATCACGAGTAGAGCAATTCATAAATGCTCAATGGCAAAATTTTACAGAATAACAAATATGCGTGTGTATGTTATACATGTTTGTCATACATGGCAAGATTTGAGAGAACAATACACATATCTATATGACTGACAATACTTACATACTTATATACATTACAATATATATTATATATTACACTACATCTACACGATAACAATGCGTAGATAGCGTATTAATCAATGAAGGTAAAGGTAATCTATGAAGACAATAGTTTGTTTTTTTTTGTGGGGCAGGGACGAATATATGAGGACCGTGATCCACCCTCAAAGGAAACATTTAGTTATAATTATACTCTATTTATCCAAAAAAGTACTACAAATTGATTGGATCATATCCAAAAGAGTACTACCATTATGAACGAACGTTATTTAATTTTTAAAACATTTTTAATTTCAAGTTAACATTGTTTTGCTTTAAAAATATTTATGAGGAAGCGATACTCATGAATGGAATTGCATTCCTCCTCTGTGAAATAATTATTGGATCTGTCTCTCTTTCGGGGGGGGGGGAGGCGAAAAGTTTGGCGACGTTATGAGGGATCTGCACAATATTTCTGCGCGCCGGGTTGGTGACACTGCACTCGGAGGGAAAGATTCGGATGCAGAGAGGTCTGATGTGCATGTGTTAGAACAAGACCCTACTGGATCTAAAATATTTTTTTAAATATTACATTTCAACGTGCTTCCGCTGTTACGACTTATTATAATATATTTTGGGTTATTTGGTGTGAAAAAATAAATAATCTACCAGATTACATTGTCTACGTGTTCTGCACGTAAAAGGAGTCATATTAATTGCATGTAGAAAACACGCGTTGACGTAAAATTGTAGTCAACGGCACAAGTCTGGTCTTCGCCGTCCGCTGAGGGGCGGGAGCAAATGACCTTGGCTCCAGAGAGCGAGCGTGTGGTGGTGAACCATGCGGAAAACGGCCTTCATTCCGTCTGACGAGGCGAAGAGTTCTCTTCTGCGAATGCGCCGAGCCCTCTCCACATGTGAAACGAGCCTCACATGGCTTCTTGGGGCTATTAAACGGAGGAATGGTTCTCGTAATGCGTTTGGCGCAGTAACTCAATTGTCCGCGAGGAAAATCGATTCTCCTCACCGATAATATTTATTTATGTCACGAGACCTCTAAATGAGTTCTTAAAAGACTAATAGCGGACAAGCCACTTACAACGTGTTTTTTTTAGTTTATTATAGTGACATCATTATTATAGTGGCAACTGTGGTCATTAGCGACTACTTTAAATAAAACTTAACAATATTAATATGTTAACTTTACAATATAGTACAGCATGTATATAAATATGTGAAGACAGACATTATTTGTTATTTTTTTGTTACAATATTAGTATCCAGTATCCATACTAGTATACCTTTTACAATTAGATTTCTTTGAGAATATTGCAGTCTTTACAGAATTTTAATATTTGGTTTTGGTATTCGTTGGACGATAGCACCAAGTCAGAATTTTGCTCTCCTTCTAGGTATGTGTGTCGGCTGTACTGAAACATAGGACATTGAGTTAAAATATGTTGAAAGTTTAGAAGGGTATCACAGTGCTGGCAGGTGGGTGGAGGATTTCCAGTTAACAAGTGTTGATGACTGAACTTGCAATGACCAGTTCTTATTCTTGTTATTGTTACCTGATCTTTTCTTGAGAATTTTTTCTTAGTTTTCAGAGAGAGCAATGTTTAACTTGTTTGTGTAGAGGGCTAGATTTCATGGTTTTCCAGATGTTGCTCCACTTTTCATCCATTATTTTTTTGATGCGTGTCCATAAATCCTTGTAGGTGTGTGATATTGTTAAAATGCTACCTGTTTCAGGACTTACATTTTCCTCTTCAAGGCTCATTGTGTTGTGTTCAGGCAATGTTTTATATTCTGTCGTTTAACGTTTTTTGTTATTTCTTGTTTATCGCGTATTCAAACTAAACTTTTTTATTACTTTCATGATATTAGAATAGGCAGTACTCTCGATTACTGTGATCAAACAGTTGAATGTTCTTTCTGTTAATGCAAATGGATTCAGAAAAATGTCCGAGAATTTCGAAGTATCAGAAGATATTTTCGTTCCAGATGATATTATGGAGGATGCAGAAGCTGCAAGTTGCAGTTTGATGCTTTCTAAATCTGTAACCACTTACGAAAAAACTAATGATGTATTTTGTGCTTGGCGAACTAAAAGGAATATTCTAAGTATTACCGAAGAGTTTATGGTAGCATATTACTTTCAATATATCTATACCAAAATAATTTTCAAAATAAATGATGTTTACATTTATTCTCCAAAATTTGTGTTTTGTGTTAACGGCATATTTATCCCAATATTGATAAAATGCAGCACTGATAAAATCTAAACCCGAAAGTCCGCTAAATTATTTTAATGGACTCTCAAGCATTTTAATGTCCGTTGCTAGGGACGCTCTCTTAAAGCGTTGTTTAGATGGTTGCTAAGGAGGAGGTGCGTGTTTACAAACGTAAATAACAAAAAAAAATACTTCGTGTTTTTTGACAAAAGATTAATTTGGAAACCTCACATAAATGCATTGGCCAACAAAGTATCTACAAAAATATTCTCTTCCCTCCAATTAATGCACAATCTTCATTGAAAGTTGAGTGCAGACATTTATTTTTTAAATCCTTAATTCTACCACCCCTGACCTACGCATGTCCAGTTTGGAAATGTGCTGCCCCTAGCTATGTTAAAAAGTTACCAGCCATTTAAAATATATTTTTAAGAACTTTAAATGTACCTGGTTCATTCCAAACATCCAGATCCGCAGAGAATTAAAAGTGCGAGCATTAAGCGACCAGAGAACACAAATAGCTAAAAAATTTCACTCTTTCCCATGCTTCTTAATCTTCAGTCTAGGTCGCAATGCTGCACACCCACGTGTTAAATTCAGGTATCGCAAAGACCTATTCAAACCACCGTAATCCCTCATAAATGTCGATTGATCTAAAACTGAAACAGTCTTCAACCTCGTTTCATTTACGTTCTTCTGATTAATAAAAAACAATGGATAGCCATTTCCAAAATGCTGAAAACTATGTTCTCTAACCTCCTCGAAGGACAAAGTCTGTCGAACAAGAAGAAATAGATTTAAAAAAAATGGGAGCGTCGAGTCTCACCATTGGCCGGCGCAGCCTGAATCAAAAGAGGGGCCAAATACATTTCTGAGCTCCCTTTTCGTTTGAACTTTTTATTTACATAATACTTTCTATTTGTATTTAACCATATTTCCCGTTAAGGAGAATTGGCATCGGCGTCGATAGATCCCGGGGTTCCTCGTCGGTCACACAGCCGGGATCCCGCGATGTCTCGCATTCGCTTAACCTTTGCGACCTCACATAGTCAACAAATTCGCCTAGCGACGCCAGTTGGCGGTCGTGGCCTTTCAGTAGAACGATCCCAGCATTCGACTGGATGACCAGGGGAAACTACGAAATCCTCGAGCAGGATGGCCGGCACGGGGATTGAACCCATGCCTTCCCAATGGTAAGTTATGGCGCTACGCCATGCGCCACTTCGCTAGGTACATATCATTTTACTAATACATTTGTAAAACACACTACAGAGAGATTGGAATTATAACTTTAATGATGCAATTAATTGATTTTTGTTATATTAGGGAATCCTTTTCTTGTTTTTAGATAATAAATATTTAAAAGACTGTTAAATACATCAAAACAGTTAAAAACATTTCAATTTTCACAATGGTTTAGCTGCAACCTTCTTCAACTCTTTTATTTAAAAACCTGTATGTAAAGCATTTTAATACTCTTCTAAAATTTTATTGTCTAAAAATAATAAAAGGATACCCTAATATAACAATATTTTAAAGAGAATCAATCAGGAGGAAAAAAGTTTTTTACTATGTTAAATATTTTCACGGTAGGCTTGGAGAGCCACTTCCACAAATGTCGCAAAATTGTCAAGTTAAAAAGAGAGAAAACTCAGACATTGTAAATAGAATCAAGGAACTGTTTTATTACGCAAAGCTGCGGGGCCCAATTCAAAATTTTAAGGGGGTTGGTAAAGGCTCCCCTGTGGCAGACCACTGTACCCGAACGGGTAATGGTGGGGATAAAATCGTCAATCGAAATTTTAGCACGTGCACAGTTGAAGGCTTTTTAATATCTCACTGCGGAGTAGAGGAAGTTATGTAATGCTGCACGAAAAACGCGGCGAATTTTCGTTAGAAAAACTTATTACATGGCCTGGCCATGAGAAAGTGGATAAATCGAGTTGCTTAATTTAGAAAAATAATCCTTTAACTCGTGGTGTAGCCAAATACATGTTTTGTGGATCCTTTATAACGAAAAATCGAATGACTGCTGTCTATCCGTCCGTGTGTGAACAACGCTAGCGGCTAAGCCGTTCAACCAAATTTCTCCGAAATTGATATTCCCCAATCGATATGGCTTAAGTCGTGGCTCGTTGAATTTGAATCCAATATTTTAATTTTGGGGAGTACTTTACATGAAGTTCCTGGGACATTTTCAGAATTATCAAAGAAATGGCTCCATTGGTTTTATAAAAATTATATGTGTAATAGTGTAAAGGACGTATAAGAGAATGGCGCAGACCACATTTTCATTACAAACTCTTAGAAAATTATTACTTAATAAATACTGGTCGTTTCATTACAATCTTGTCAGTTAGTTTCGGTGTCCTTTGTTTTCCCCAGTGTTTTCGTTCTGTTGTTTCCAAATTGTGTTCCGAGAAACCAAACCTGTTCCTCAGAAGAACGTCTTAAGGCTCCAATAGAAATCAGTTTATAATTGAAAGATTCACAATCAACACTGTGACGATCACTGTAAAATGTTAAATATCTCAAAATTAGCGACGTATTGTCTTGTAATATCACTGAATGGATGAACTACTATATTTCACAAATGAAATATTCATTATCAGAGCATTGTTCGGTAAATGTTGCCTTAGATCCAATGCCTAAGTACACACACTTTCTGGAGATATCAGCTGATCCATCTTTCCAGAAAGAATTCTGTACTGAGTCCATCGTTTGACCTGAAAGAAAAATGCAAAGATAAGTGAAATGCTCCATGTCCCATCGTAACTAACTCTGACCCATCACATGCGCTGTTGAGCAGGAAAGTGGACGTACAGTAGGTAGGGCGAATTCAGGGATATATGGTCTTGAGAAAATCAACTTTTCCACTTCCATGGTCCCTTGGAAGAATGTTTCGTCAACAAATCGTGTTTGTTTATGGAACGAAGCTTTATTTACATTAAGGGAAAGTAAAAATTGTGGATACGTAGGTCTTAGGCATTGCAGCTCAAACTCTGCTTACAAAACATTGCTCGAGATTCCCTCCCTAGATGTGGCTAGATTTTTCCTTACCTAAGGACGTAATAAATGAATCTGTTTCTCCAGCTCTGTGGAATCCAACGTGTACTATTCTAACATCGTGGAGGTCCATCATCCTCGTCAGATGTGAGAGCTCTTCCTACAAAGAAAACAGAATGACATATTGTCGGAACACAAAAAAGTCACATCCCCAAAATTGCCATTTTTGAGTTAGGTGAAGAAATATAATTTAGAAAATATATATGCTAATAAGATTTTCAGTCTACTAAGAAACTCATAATTGTAGACAGAATTTCAGTCTAGTAAGAATTTCATAAACATTCTTCACAACACAGATAGTTTATAGAGTAGAACTTTGCCTTTGGCCGGGTCATAATCGGCTCCCCCTAGAATATGAGCGTTCTTATGCAAAAGTGGCAATTTTTAGGATGAGTCTGAAGCTTCTAATCTGCGGAATCGTTTTTAAATATTACTATGTCCTACCAAAAAACAAAGACCAGTAAGAACTTTCTTCAAATCTCACATTGGTTTGTTGCCTAAAAACTTATATTTCTAGTAAATCACTTTTAATAAAACTATGTATATGAGAAAACTTTTATTAAAAATCTTATTTTTGTTGATGACCAAGTTATAGTTGCAGACGTCCAAGTCAACGTACAGAGAACCGTATACGAATTTCCCCCAAAACAAACAAAACAACAACTACGTCGTATAATTTAAAAATATCAACACGTAAAACCAAATCCATGATATTCCAAGAACTCCAACCTCTAAGATGCAAACTCGTTCTTGAAGATAGAATAATAGAATAAGTCAACACTTCACATTTTTAGGATGTGGTATATCTTATCACGGTGATGTGTGAAGGAAAATGAAATGTGTGGCACGATTAAAAGAAATCTCAGAGGCAAAGTTAGGAGAAATGCATTGCTCATGTTCTACAAAGTGATGCCAGAGCCCTATGAATTATATGGTAATGAAAAGTGGACACTGAATTCTAGAACTTATAACAGAATACAAGCAGCAGAGATGAGATTTTTAAGATCAATTTTAAGAGTAACAAGAACAGACGGCATAGAAAACGAATTTATTAGGAAAACACTTGGAATCTACAACCAGACTAATAAAATTGATGAATACGAGTGTAGGAACAAAATGGCAAAACCATATATTAAGAATGAATGATTGATGAATGCATTCGAAAGCAAGTCATATACTGAACACTCACAGGAAAAAGGAATACCGGTAGATCGAGAAAACAGCAATTATTATTGAACAAATTCCGTGGTAGCAGATATCTTGTGGTAATCCATAATATGGTAAAGGAAATAATCTCCACTAAAGTTTTGTGGAGAGTATTTCCTTTACCATATTATTACTGAACAATTCGATTACTAAAAATTATTACTAATTTTTTAAAAAAGTTATTGACATCATTTAAAGATCTATAATTTAATGAATTGCTGTAAGAAATACCCACGCCACTACGTATATTGTCATATAATTAAGGCATGGAAAGGTGGGACATATCATCCAGCAGCGAGGTTGCACGCCGAAAATTAGGTATGTTTGGGATGTGGCTGTAGAGAAGGGTCTTTAGAGTGACATCTCTGTAGAGAAGTGTCATCAATTTGTTTCCATATTCACTACATGGAATACACACACCTGACAAGCCATTATTTCAGGTCATTGTTTCAGTCATTGTTTCAGTGTGAAGTCTTGAAGATTAATTAAATGAGGGAGGTTTACATTGGGTTGGCTGGTCTTATAGACTGCTGGCGATGGCTGGATGTGGCCCGCGGACTGTAGTTTGGAGACCTCTGGTCTATACAATCTAGACATAAAGCTTAACAACTTTGACAAATTTTTGAAAAAGAAAGACTTGCATTATGCTTTTTTTCGGCTTACTCGAAGGTTTGTGTGTTTGTAGTTGAGTTGCAGTTCCAACGCATTTTGCGTTTTACTGCTATGTGCAAGTGGCTGGTGTGGGTTCGCGTCGGACCTTAGTCAATAACCAAATCGGCTTTTGTGTTGCAATAAGCCATCAGAAAATGAAATGATGCTTGTTTTCTTTGTCCTACAGTGAGGACGTGTCTAGCTAGTTGTATTAGCGTTGCCGGAGCTTCGTAATTGCATTATGCAACCTTTCATTAAGTAAACTTGCAGTATGAGACCTTGAAGTCCTCTTTAAGACAATCACGATAATTGGAAAATTGTGCATGTCATCTCAAAAGTATACTTGTAATTGTGCGGTAATCGCCAAGGTATATTGTTCCCGAACCGAGTGTGGCGAGCAGTGAACTGAATGTTATGGACTGTGAAACTTTTTGTACAACTCGGTCTCGAAAGTGACTGGGCCCTCTCAGTGTCCGCGTACAATCCAACTTGCGTCTCAGAAACTACTTCACCGTGCTAATCAGTGGTGTATTTCCTGCATCGCGTGCTTCAATCCAAGCATACTCCGCGAGGTCTTCAAGTCTGTCAGTTCGACCTGTAGAGAAAACCGCGCTACCATGACTATCCTTGTAAAGAGTCATAAATGTGTTTTCATTCAGGATCCGTGATGCAATAATAGTAATGTTCTTTCATCGTAATCGCATGTGTGTGTACGAAGTTGTGTGAATGTTTTCCGAAGGATTCAGTAACCTACGTTCCATTGTGACCTCTATTGAATTATCTAAAGGTTTCATCTGTTTGTGCGTAATTACCATTCCAAACAGCCCAGTCCACTCTTTCATTACTTATCGCACTACTCTGAACAGTCAGCACAGCCACAGCTCAGCCTAACCCGTGAAATACAGAAGAAGAAGAGGAAGAGGTGGAAGGAGAGGTTTTGCAAAACCAGGCATTTGGCGTATTCATATGCATACTAAAGGTCTTACTGGGATTTTATAAATAACTGACTGAGATAGTCTTTACTAAAGTTTTTATTTATTAGGTAACCAGATTCCCATAGCTTAACCATAATAAAATCTGCCGCATGGATTTCAAGTGGTAGAACCTCCTCTTTCCCTCTTCAGATTTAATGGTGAATGAGGTCGTTGGTGGTTACACCTTTCCTTGAGAATGTTTTCCCTTTATTATCAAAGATAAAATGACTCATATGCGCTACGTCAGGAAGTTTGGGATGATACTGCAATAATCACACCCTGACCACGGGACATATTTGTTTACACGCACCATGCAAATTGTCGTTTTGTAAAACTTATGCAAAAATGGTTTATGTCATATCAATGGGGTCTTCATATAGAAATTCGAAGAAAATTACGGAATACTGCCGACCAACGATGAAGAGAATGCGTATTTAGAGCGGAAGCCAATTTACTTGAATTATAATGGAATACAGATTTCGTACAGGAAATGTAATGAGGTTGCAGTAATTGCATGTTTTCAATTATGACTATTTTCTTTAAACTGTCTGAAATTGACACATACCCTAGTTTATGTGGCTTCAGAAATCTTCCGTAAAGTCAGTAAATTAAATCCAAGGACAGAAATGAGGAAAGGCATGTAATGTGATTGGAAGCAACAACGTTAAATCGAAAAACTTACATACACAGAATTACATACATATTTTACAGTGTAAGGAAGAATTTTTATTTACATTTGCATTACGAATTATTTCTCTTTTAATGATTATTAAATGCTGTTTTTATATCATTTGAAGAAAGCGAACAGTTCAAATGTATGGGCCAAGAGTTTCATAATACAAAACTTTAAGTAAATATAAGCCATTTCATATGATTCAGAGAAGGAAAACTTTCATTGAAATGCTGCCAAAGATACACACAGAATTGATTGCATATAGAATCGTTGTTGAAAATATCAAAAAGGAAGATAAAAATAGCATTCTTTTATTTTAAATATTAATAAGAAAATTATACCCTTTTATTTAAAGTACTGAACGGTTGAAATGAATGATATTAAATTGTGTGACCTTATAAAACATATCATTGGCACGTTAATATTTAGTTTCTGATCCTGCCTATCGACTGAAGTGGCTCAGGACATCAACTGATATCAGTGCAATGGTTCAGACCGGCAGGTCCTAGGGTTTATTTCCGATCATGGCAGAATTTTCGACACAAGCTAGATAGCTGGTGTTACCCGATTACTGTAACTGAACCTAGGTGTCCGTCCGTTCGATCGCCTGTTCTTTACTCGCTGTTAAACTGTTAAACCTATTCCAGTCCACTGTTTGTGACAAGCAAGTTGTCTTTCAATGCAAATAGGTCTGATGGTGGAGAAGTGTCCATTTTTTGTGAATGTTATTGATGACATTATTATTATTGTTATTATTATATTTATTATTGTTATTATAGTTATTATTATTGTTATTATTATATTTGTTATTGTTATTATAGTGATTATTATTATTATTAAAATTTGGGGGTACTTAAATGAAGCCCCTGGGACATTATCAAAATTTTCTCATATTGGCTCAAAATTTTTTCTTTAGATTTCTTATAAGAATAGAGTAAAATTCACTTATAAATGTGGCATAGATCCGATTATCATGCTTAACTCGGTTTGAATTGTTTTCCGGGTCTTCCTACAACAAAATTAAAGATAAGATAAGTTTTTTCTACAAATAAAATTTGTTGTTCATCATTTGTTCTTTCATTAAGGGCGTGTACATGTTTTTGAAACTTGTAGTTGTTTTCGCACAATATTGATAGCAATTTGTGCAATTTCCAAAAATTACAAATATAAAATTTTCTCAAAAACAACTCCAATGTATTTCTTTAAACTTTTGGTAAGGATTATGCTAAATGCACTCTACAAGATGACATAAAAGCCATATTCCTCTATTCTTTTGATTTGTTCAAAAATTGCAAAAATGTATTTTTTTGCTTGTTTCTCACGTCATTAATATTTATATTAGCAGCAATTTGCTCATATTATTATATTTATTAGTACATATGCTTTAAATTATGTCACATAAAGCTTCTCGAAAAATAAACCGTTTTCTTTAAAAACTAGCTCAAAATTTCGCAATTTGAAAATTTCGTTATTTAATATTCTTAAAATAATATTTTCGTTCTATTATTAGTAAATCGAAAAATTAAGAAAAAAATAATTGGGCGGCGATAGATGGCAGCAGACAAGAATTTGTGGCAAGTTCGAATAGTTAGCCAAGAACAAAGGAAATAGAAAACTAAAAATAAAAACTAAACGGAAAGTTTGTGCCGTTCTCTAGCTTCAATAGGTCTTTCTGAATATATCTATTTATTTTTTTAAGTAATAAATAAAATACATGTTTCTGAAATGCTTATAACTTCTGCAATGCAAATATTTGCATTGAAAGCGTTTTTTCAAACCAACTTTTCAGTGTTTATTGCGGAACAGCTATTAGGAATATCCAAGGAGTTTATTAGGCAAAAATTGCTTAAGGCTTAAGGCATTAAATTGTCTTAAGAGCTTATTTTCGAAGTTTCGATGTTTCCTCAACTCGAAGCCTAACAACCAAAATGGGAGGTGAATACAGAAAGTAAATTTCCTTAGGTTGTTAAAAGAAAAAAAAAGAAAAAAACAGAATAAAATTTGCAGCGGAGTCAACACAAAGTTGCACCATTGTTCACATAAATACCATCAGAAATGAGACGTATGTCACATCGTGGAATCAACATTTTTATCCCTGTCTCGAAGACGTCTGCCTCCAGGGATACGAGTAGGTACCAGTGTGTGACAGCCACCTGCTAAACTGTGTTACTGTGATATGTGCAATGCTGGAAAAGATGGATATCGCCGCAAGCGAGATCCGAACTATAAGGGTAGATGGTCAAAACACCTCCCAACGGAACTGCTACAGAAGAATTGTTGAGAGTCAAGCCGTGTGTGGCCGAGCGTTATCGCGCAGGAAAATAACATCTGCACTGAGAATAATATCGTTTTTTCATTAAATTGTGTCTTTATTTCTTTTTACGACCAAGGGAAACTTCAGTTTCTTGATGCGCCTCGTACAAAATTGATACTCTTAGCTAAAATATAAGGTACCAGATTGATGTTCTGGGTAAAATTAATGAGTTTACCTTTGTGTTAGGAATAGCCAAATGGCCTCCATCACTTGAGCAAATAATGTGCGCGTCCGTCCACGTCCGCTTCTCGTAAAAGAACTTGTAACTTCCGAGACCCGGTATCGTTCTGTAGCCCCGAGGGATGGACTGGTCCGGCGTGGCGCATTTGGGAGCAGGAGGGCAGGCGGGACAGGTGGGGCAGGTGAGGTTGATGACCGGCGTGGGGCAGGTGGGGATCTCCGGCAAGGGAGGGCAGCGTGAGGGCGGCTGTGGAGGACACACCGGGACGGGGCAGGACGCGTTGGGGCACGGGGCACAGGGCGACGGGCACTCGTGCTGCTTGAGTTGGCACAGGCGCACGCAGGCCGTGTCCGTGTTGGTCAGCCTGCCGCTCACCACTGCTAGGAGCGACACCAGCAGCAATTTCCTGAGGAATTTAAAGTTAAAAAATCTATTAATAAAGAGTAATAAATGAAATGCTATTTGATAATAGTATTGTTTATTATTATTATTATTATTATTATTATTATTATTATTATTATTATTATTATTATTATTAACTTGATTGGCAACATTGGACCACTTGAGTCGTTCCACTTCACTTTAGTATTGTTTATTATCATTACTCAACATTATTGTTCCCTTTACATAAAAGAATTGGGGCATGAGTCATGACAACTATTTTTTGGAGGAGAATACGAGCTCTGTAAAATATACACATGAAGGGCAAAGTAAGTGTGTAGACATTTAACGACACCAAAATGGGGTTTCTCATCTTTAGTAAGGAATTAGAAATGTGTGTACTAATTTATTGTTCTATAGCTTATATGAGTTCATAACATTCCAGAATCGTTACATACCCGTTCTAAATGCCCGATTAATGTCCGATAAATGTCCGATAATGTCCGATAACGTCCGATAAACGGCAGATTATCGATTACCACACGCTCCACATCAGACCGCATACTCACAGGTGGTCCCGTGCGTTGCTGATCACTGGCTGCGCGTCCTCGCTGAAACTGCCCATCTCGCGACAGACCAGTATGGGAGGCAATTATTTCCAACAGCTTCCACCAGTTTCCTGTGACATTTTCGGTCATTTCTTCCACGGAGAAGGGCTATTTTCGTGTATGAGCCCTGCTCAAAACGGATTACATTCATCTCGCACCACGGCAGCCAGACAACTGATTTCACATTGCTCTCTGAGCTAATAGACACATGTTGAATAGACACCTGTTGTTATGAACACTTATTAATATATCATTTCTTTCACGCGACAGATAACATTGTGTAATCTGGTGACATTTCATTTACAAGAAAATACCTGTCATGACTTCTGCCTCAATCCTCGTATAATATACTAAGAAAATATATTTTGGGGCCACTTATAAAAAAACCAACGCTGATCCCTGTGAATGTGCTAACGTTTCATATGCGTATCGTTTAACACTGCAACAAATTAAATATTTCCTGAAAACACAAATTTTGCAAAAACATCCTCTCTAACCAACGCCGTGTGAATATTGGAGCAGAACCCTATCGAACAGGGCCGCACGGACCGTACGTGATCTTTCCTTCCTCTTCCTTTACCTATCGTCACCCTTACTCTCACATACACCCGCGCGCGCGCGCGCGCACACACACACACACACACACACACACACACACACACACACACACACACACACACACACTCTTACATGCGCTTTCGTACACGCTACACGTACTGGAGCTTAGAGCTTGTTCCGGCAGGGGTACTGCCCGGTAGATGGGAGATCCCTAGTTGAGGAAAAACTCGCAAGCCGACGGCTAAGCCTGTGACGGATCTCGCCATCCAGCAGGCGAAGTGTCCAGCCCCCTCCCGCGATCAAAACCACGCTCTATTATTACGGTAATATTGACCATATCCGACTCAGCCGTCGGAGATAATGTTGCTGTGCATTTCGCAACTTACTAAAATCATTCAATAGCCTTTCAACTAAAATCTAAAATATTCTGAATTGATGCACCACGCGTCCGATCTTGCAGTTTGCTCCCATCATTCTCTCTTCCTCTCACAAAAAACTACATTTTCCTCCTTGATTTGCGGTTTTGCCCTTTATCAATGCGCACCCTAATGCTAAAAGTGAATCTTCCTTCTCTTCTGCGACGTAAAATCGTATTTTGTTACATTTTTGTTTCAAAGCTTTATTATCATTGGCTAGCTCACTAAAACTCGAAATTTTGAATTATGTTTATTAAAATGTATTTTCTCGTCACAAAATAACAGGTTTGTTATTTTTTAATTCTCATGTTGAAAATACTGTTCGTAATATTAATTCAGTTTATGGCGAGAATTTGTAGTCCCAGTGACTATATTTTTAGCTTCCCTGCAGCGTCGCCATTTATTTGCCCCTAAAAGACAATTTTTAATTTTCTCAGTTTTTGAGATTCCTAACAAGAGAATTGAAATAAGACTTCAAATATTTTGTAGAAGAGTAAAACTTGGTACTTATGCACATTTTCGTTGAAAAAATTGGAGCTGTTTTTAACAAAATACCGTTTGCGAGTTTCTGAAAATGCCGAATTTTCTATTTTTTTTTTTTCATGAAAAACATTTGAGTTTTTGGAAAACATAATTGGGTATCATTTGAAGCACTTCTACTCATAAATGCAACAATATAAACAAATCGTCAGGAACGCAAATGTTAACGATTTTAGACTATTTAAAAAATATATCTGTACAATTTTTGGAAAACAAATAAATGCATCAATATAACATTTATGCCATGTAATTCTCTGCATATCCGTATAAAACATTTAAATGAAAAAATGGGGCCGTTTTCGAGAAAACACATTTATGTCTTAAAAATGTAACTGCAAAAGAAGATCCACAAATTCAAACTTTATCTCTTTTCGAAAATTGAAATTTTTTTCTGAAATTCCAACCCACGCCATTTTATAAGCGTACATTCCTGCATGTAGCTAAATCATCCCCTCACACACATTTATGATATCCATCTCAAATTCAATGAGCCGCGACATCAGCCAGGAAAATCCTTTTTTTCCCGAATCCGAAACATTTTTTTAGAATAATTTGTTTGAGTGACTGACTGGCGGAGAGACTCACTGGCTGAAGGACTGGCGGACTGACTGACGAAGTGTAATGGACGCACTGTGGGACTGACTGTCGGACGCACTGACGGACTGACTGACAGACGGTCGGACGAACAGATGAACTGACGGACTGATGGACCGACAGTCTGGGTGACTGTCGCAAGATTAAAAACACAATGTCGATCTGAAGGTTGCCAAAACGATTCTTTTTGTCAACACCTCGACATCGGTTTTTGAAGGATATCTTAACTGTCTCTAAAGTATAAAGCACAGAGAAAATTGTTAAGTTAATAAATAGTCCGTTAAGCAATATAATAAAAAACGTTAAGTAAAGTTACGTCTCCTATAAATATGTATACGAAGTATAAGAGAAAGTAAAATTATTTGTTGATACATGTCCCTTATTATCCCATGGGTGGGTCTTATAACTTGCCCTATATCTTGTATTACGTGTGGTATTATCAATCAACATTCTAATTGATGGTTTTCGTTCGTTCACCTCAATAGAAAAGTCTGCGAATAAATTCTCCCCTGCTTCCGAGAAACTCACCGAAGGACCATGCTGCAATGGCTCCCACAGCTGCAGACCAATTCTATCCGCCAGACAGTTCATTTCCAGATTGTGTGAGAAAGACGTCCTCGAGATGACACATTTTCCGCTTAGAGATTGTGCTATTTGCGGATGAAGTTTGGAGAGAGTGGGGGTATACTGTTGTTCTTCCAATGTTGTCTTTTCACAGTATTTTCCTGTCTGCTATTTATAAACATTGATTCGATGCTACAATCGTTTCAGTAAATTTTGATAATTTTATTACAGAGTTAATTTTATAATGTGTGCGTCGTTTTCCTAAATGTGTAATTTGTGTTTTCCTCATATGTGTAAGATTACATATGCGTCACTTTCCTGAACTTTGTTTTGGTACAAGTTCTTCTGGATCCTTTACCATTGTATGTTTGCCCTTGGTATCCTCGGGCCCAATCTCGGATATGGTACCATTGTTCCGGGTGTAGGTACAATTACTCACAGATTGCAAACAGATATCCTACATAGTTACAGGTCAAGCTAAGCGATTATGGAAACATTAAATTATAGTCTGCGTTAACACAATTTGTAAGAATAGAGTGATAATAATAAATTCTCAACCGATCTGACCCGACTCAAAGACTTGCGTTTTAAAAATAATTCTTTACATTTGGGGGTACTTTTCATGAAGCCCGTGCGACATTTTCAAAATTTTCTGAAAAACAACTCAAAATTTTCTGTTTAAATTTCTTGTAAGAGTGCATTGAAATACTCTTATAAAGATCGTATAGGCATGATTTGTCTACGTTTTGAAGGTTTTTGGATACAGTTGTACAACTACATTATTGAAGATAGAGACTTTTCTGAAATTGTTCTTCAAAAGTAGATCTTTGAATGCGGTCATGCACAATATTTTGATTATAGTAGCTCTGTGCTTTATTGCACGAAATATAAACAATATTTTTAAAAAAAATTCAAAATTCAAAAATGGCTTCAATTTTTTATTCAGATTGGCAGAAAATTTATCGTGCTAGTTTTCTAATTTCTTTAGTCTGGGCTAGCTTTTCGGTTCGCTCTTCCCAGCTGCTGCCCATGTACTAATTCATTAGTGCATATGGAATTATGACTACAAAAAAATAAAGTAAACAATTGGAGCCGTTTTTGAGAAAATTGCGTTTGAAGGTTTCCGTAAATGGTAAATTATTAACTAATTTTCACACAAAACATTTGGGTTCTCGAGAAACCAAATAAGAAATGTACAGTCCAGTCACATAATGTGACGACCATCAACAAAGTTCGAAGTAAACGTGCAATACCCCCTCACGGACGGCAGGTGGCAGCACTGACAGTGGGGGGTAAATAAATCGTGTCGGGTTGAAGCGGAAAACTGCAGTAGTAGTACCAATGTAGAAATAGAGCTATTTATAGGATGTCAGAAGGGCATGATCATTAGCTTTCCGGCTAGTGGCGCAAGCGTTTCCGAAACGGCTAAATTTGTAAAGTATTCACGTGCCACCGCGGTTAAAATATACCGTGCATGGCAAAACAGCGATACCCAAAACCGGCGCCGAGGCAACTGTGGGGTACCACGGGCCGTAGATGACACCGGCGGTTGCGGAGATGAGTACGGGCGGATAGACATGCAACTGTAGAGAAACTGACCGCCCAGATGAACCAAGGGTCTACCAAGAGGGTTTCCACAACAACGTTTAGGCGAATGTACCAGCGTATGGGCCTCCGCTGCAGGTGCCGCGTTCACGCTGACTGCTGTTCATCGGCGACGAAGGATGGAATTTTCCCGCCAATGCCGCAACTGGACGACCACATAGTGGCAACAGGTGGCCTTTCCAGATTAATCACGTTTTCGGCTCCATCAGAGGGATGGTCGTTGTCATATACGACGTGAAACGTCTGAATGCAAACACCCTGCTACAATCGCCGGTCGGGTGGAGTCCGTAGGAGGTAGCATGACTTGTGGGGAATGTTCTTGTGACATTCTCTGATGATCTTATCGCTTCAGAAGGTATACCAGATCAACAAGAAGTTTACAGCAATCCTTGGGGTTCATGTCCATCCCAGTAAACAGATCGTTTTCCCTCAGTAAGACGGCATATACCAGCAGTATAATATCACGTGTCGTAGAGCTAGATGTGTACGTGAGTTTTTCAAAGAGCACGTAGATGAGCTAAGAGCAGTTGTTCTTGCCTCCAAACTCCCCCGATTTCAACCTAATCGACAATATAAGGGGGACATCTCGATTGGGCCATTCGCATCATGGATCCGCAACCGAGGAACCTAGCGCAGCTAGCCCCGGCACGGGAGTCAGTAGGGATCCACATCCCTTTCGGTAGCATTCAGAACCTCCTTCACTCTCTTCCTGCAGCGGTCAGCGCAGCAAAAGAGAATTAATCAGGATTTTGACGGGTGGTCACAATAATGTGACTGGACTGTGTCATTTTAAGCCCTTATTCTTACAAGTGCAACGAAGTGTAAGAACACCTATATTGTAAATATTAACACGAGAGACATGAAAAAGTACATTTGTGTAATTTTTGGAAATCAAAAGAATACATCAAAATAACGTTGATTTCATGTTGTTTAGTGCACTTAGCACTATCCAAATAAAGCTGAAGAAACATTTAGGAGCCATTTAAGGGAAACTCTTGTTTTATTAGTGCCCATAGAGCACCCAAAATTATATAAACCAATATTTTCAAAAATATGTACACGGCACGAATTAAAACACTAATTGTGGAGAAAAAATGTAAAACTCTATCTTTAATTAAGTCGTACCTAATTTTTGCAAAAGTTTTCAAAATTCAGAGTTAACACTGCAAATCAAATATACGCCACCTTCACAAACGTATTTCACTTGTACTTACAAGAAATTTAAAGAAACAAATTGGAGCCGTAATTATAATTTTACCAAAAATCCTACGAATAGTTTAGGATCCAGTTTTCTTCACCGATAGACGAAAGATGGCCAGATATTGTCCAACACATTGGCTGAGTGACGGGCGGACGGACGGGCGGACGGACGGGCGGACGGACGGGCGGACGGACGGGCGGACGGACGGGCGGACGGGCGGACGGGCGGACGGGCGGACGGGCGGACGGGCGGACGGGCGGACGGGCGGACGGGCGGACGGATGTTGAACACACTTTTTTGTTATCAGGGAACCCAAAACGCTCTTTACGTTGAAATATTGAAATCGATTTTCCACAGCCCTCTACATTACAAATATTTTACTTCGTATACATGTACGAATACGGGAAAGTAAAAAATAAATGTTGCCTAGTGTATTCTTTCTTTTGCTTTACAATCCTGCCCATTTATATCTGTCTTTTTTGTCTTGTCGATGTTTTTAAAAGGCGCCTGCTTGTCATACGCATGCACAAAATTTTCGCAGCATGTGTTCAGTATCTTCAGGCACAGCAACATGTTAATTTGCAAATAAACTTTTTGAAATGTTTCTCTTCACAATTGGATTTTTTTATGTTTATAATTCTACTGTCTGTTCGTAGAGCAGAGTTAAGTTTCAATTTCAAAATATGGGAAGGAACCTTTTCGTGTACGCTTACTCACATAGAATTGATCCGTAAGTCTCATTTCGTTTTTGATACAAGTTTTACTGTGTTCTTTTAAATTTTGTAGCATGAATATATTGCCATGTAAACATAATTTCTTTTGCCACTCTCTCTCTCTCTCTCTCTCTCTCTCTCCATATATATATATATATATATATATATATATATATATATATATATATATATATATCCAGAGTCCAGAGTGCAATTTGCATATAATTTGAGCAAAACATGGTTTATAACTAGTATTACTTAATTTAGCATAATAGCATTTATTTGTTGAATTTGCTGAACTTAAATAAATCGGATTCTTTAAAATGTTGTATCTGTTGTGTTGGCATTAGAGCTGGCCATTAAGTATTTAAAAAGCCTTCGGACATAAAGAATTAGAAAGATCCGCAATGGCGTTAACAGTATCGTTATGTTGTTTGCTCGAGGTCCGTAAACACACGACGATGCTCTAGTAAACCATAAAAATATTTTAACTTAATGCGAATGATATTAATGCATTACATTTTAGTAAAATGTAGGAAGCCATACCACTTCACCGTCTCATTTTCTTCTTGGAAATCTAGTTTGTACACTACATGTGCATTTTGTGTCAATAAAATGGAATATTGTTTGAATACTTCTTTTCCATTCGACTCGTTTAGCAGTTTTCTTGAATTACAGGTTAGTTTAAGAATTTATATCTAAGCTATTTTTCACTTGCTAGTGTTTTTCGCTGCATACTTTGTTGATAATACTTAACCGGAACTTCCTTGTCTCTTCCGCCCACTAAATCTTCTAAATATTGTTTTCCTTATTTTACGATGAGACGACTCATTGCCATGTATACGCAATTTTGCATGTGTGTGTGAGAGAGAGATGCAGGGGCAGAGAGAGAGAGATGCAGAGGCAGAGAGAGATGCAGAGGCAGAGAGAGATGCAGAGGCAGAGAGAGATGCAGGAGGCAGAGAGAGAAGAGAGATGGCAGAGAGCAGAGAGAGAGAGAGATGCCAGAGGTCAGAGAGAGAGAGGATGCAGAGGCAGAGAAGAGAGAGAAGATGCGAGGCAGAGAGAGAGGAATGCGAGGCAGAGAGAGAGAGATGCAGAGCAGAGAGAGAGAGATGCAGAGGCAGAGAGAGAGAGATGCAGAGGCAGAGAGAGAGAGAGATATGCAGAGGCAGAGAGAGAGAGAGAGATGCAGAGGCAAGAGAGAGAGAGGAGAGATCAGAGGCAGAGAGAGAGATGCCAGAGGGCAGAGAGAGAGATGCAAGGCAGAGAGAGATGCAGAGCAGAGAGAGAGAGAGATGCAGAGGCAGAGAGAGAGAGAAGAGATGCAGAGCAGAGAGAGAGAAGATGCAGAGGCAGAGAGAGAGAGAGATTGCAGAGCAGAGAGAGAGAGAGGATGCAGAGGCCAGAGAGAGAGAGAGAGATGCAAGGCAAGAGAGAGAGAGATGCAGTAGGCAGAGAGAGAGAGAGAGATGCAGAGGCCAGAGAGAGGAGATG